AAAGATGTGTATAAAAAGTGGATAATTTGTTTTTTTTTCCCTTTGCCACTGTGAACAGTCCCTATGTGACAACAATCATTCAGCTATTTCAGTTTCTTAGCTTTTTGTTCCTACTAAGGACAGGTGTTGGTCTAAAAACTTTACATTTTCCATCCCATACACAACTCCTCCTCAACATTTACCCTTTCTGTCTTAAAAAAACAATAAAACTTCCAATAAAACAGTGTGAATTTTAGGCCCTTTGAGGTGAAGCTGCATTTTGAAGGGATAGTTCAGATCTTTTGGGCTGGAGTTTTAACATTTTATTGTAGATAAATCTATAAATTGTCTCAGTCTGGAGAAATAGAGTTTAATTCTGACCAGACTGAGATAACAGCTTGTCTGAGCGAGGCCGAGAACAAAGAAGAATTCTGCATAATAAAAAAAAAAAAACAAACAGACTCTAATTTAAAAGGTTTCTTAGAAATTCATGCAAAAGCTGCTTCAAATCATTTTAATTTGTGAAAAATGTATTTTTCTAAAATGTACCAGTACTCCACAATCTACCTGATTTATTTTCTGATTTAAAAACCCTTCATCTTAATATGTTAATGTTTTACTCTGCCCTCACCATTTTTGTCTAGATATTATTTACTTGTTTTATTTTTCAGATTGCATAGTCTTGATACTTTGATGGTTGTACAGCTTTTATAATTTTTGTTCCAAATTTTTAATATCCTATTCTGATTGTATATCTTTTAGATTTCCCTCTGATTGTGCAGCACCTTGTGAATCTATTTCTATGAAAGGTGCTATATAAATAAAACTTTACTTTACTTACTTCACAGTAAAATAATTGCATTATCATTATGCAATTATTTTACTGGTTATTTTGAAGCACAATTAGCAACAGCAGCTAGCTGTAGCACTTCAGTGCCACCCGGGACACTTAAACCTCAGATTTTTGCTGAAATAACTGTGAAGTGTCAAATTAACATTTGCAAATAAAACAGCATTTGCATGAGCTTCTCTGTTAGAAGAGACTTGTTTATTTTATCCCTGATCAGCCTGATCAAAAATATTTGATGTCTCCAGGTAAGATAGTTTTTGCTCATTCTCTAACTTCTCCACAGACCTACACTTCAAACAAGCTTCTGAGTTGATTCATTATTTTCTCCTTTTTAAGCTCAATCAGTGATAAAAAAATTAAACATAAAAACATTTAAATAAAAGCTGCACTAATGAATGTTTCTCTCCCTGTGTGGCCTGTTCACTTGGCAAATGTCCTTCAAATAAAAAACAAAACTGACTCCATACTACGTTCATTCTCGCACAAACAGAACTGAAACACAATTACACAAATGGCTTTACCCCCTGTGATGAATTTACAGCACCGTGAAATCAGTGCTCATTTCTTGTTTTTACAGTTTAGACAAGTTTCTTTTGCGTTGACCCGAACGTGATGCCAGAGCTGAGTCCTAATTACCAAAAGGCCTCAAAGCCTGTGTTTTCTCACATCACCCCCTCAATCAAGAAGGAATGTCACATTTGCCTTAAAATCAACAGTAGCTTTTTGCATTTGTGTTCGGAAAAACCCACATCCTCAACAAAGCCAAGAGGAAAAGTGGGAGACTTTTATGATGTGGCGATGGAGGAGAAGCAGCAGATTTGTGTGACGGAGGAAGAGGGAAGAAGTGTGAGCGTGAAAACACACGTTTAGTGTAAGTCTCAGGGACATGGTCGCAGATTTTCCTTTGGTGTTTGCAGATAAAAAAACAACAACAAAAAAACTCTTCTTCATTCAGCCAACAGAGAAAAGATCAGTGCTGCAGCTCACAACACTCAGCATCTTGTTTGCAAACTGAGCTAGCACGAGCGTCGTGGGAGTCAGAAAGACTGCAGTTTTTACAGCTCTCACTTATAAAAATTAAACCAGGCACAGAATGAGAGTTAGTTCACGTACGCCACATTCACACATTCTAGTTTTGTTTTGTTAGTCTCTCAGCTCATATACTCGACACGCGTCCCGTCATTCCAAAAACATTGCATTTGGTGCTTTTATAGGGAAGCAGGAGGTGAGGATCAGCAGTGCTGCTGCAGGTGGGTCGGAGGTGAGGCGCTGCTTCCAGCGGTCCGTAGAGGCGCCCAGCGGGTTTGAATACATCCAGAGCAACGTCAGGGAGGTACAGAGGTTTGACCTGGGGTTTCAGCTCAGATTGGAAGAGCGCTCCACGATCCTTTTCCTGGGCTTTAGTTTTTCTTGTTGTTGCGTCTTTTGGACTTTTTCACCCTGGATATTGAGACAGAAGGATGAAAATGTTACTGTTTGTGCTCTTCAAGTGATCAAAATAAGAAGACATGTTGATGCAGAAGTTTATCTCACTTGAAGATTCTATTGATTGATTGGTTTTTTTGGATTTGCAGGTAGATTTTTAATGATTTACGTTTACTGCCTAGTGTAACATTAAAGGGATCCCCGATTAGTTGTAACATTAGACTTTATATGATAAACTTATATTTTAACTGTAAAATAAAGACTGTAAAAATACTGTAGGATGTTCGGTTTTTACAATTTTTAAACTAAAAGTTTAAAAATATATTACACGGACGGGGCCATTTTATTTACTCGCAAAGCATTCTGGGTAAATGATGACATCAACTAGGTCCTCGGTGCGAGGCTGCTAGCGAGCTATATCCACCCTGAAGGTTAATCTTGGACAATATCTGATGATCGACTCTTTTAAATGAAACCAGAGAGCGCTGACAGAGAGGAGAAAGTAGAAATGACTCAGCCTGTAACGAGGTACACTTCGCTGCAGTAGAAGAA